TCTCGCGGCGGGGGGCAAGCTCGACCCTCCTCTTGCTAGGCTGCTCCTCCTCCTTCAGCTCCCCCTCCTGCTCCTCCTCCTCCTCCTGATCCTCCACCTTCTCTTCCTCGCTCTCCTCCTGCTCCTCCTCGTCGTGGTCGTCGTCGTTATCGTAGTTATCGTCGTCGTCGTCGCCGCCGTCGTGTTCGTCGCGGCGGGAATTATGTTTCCTCTATTGTTAGGCGGGCTGGGTAATGATGGGGGGCCCTTTCTCCCAGGGGATGTACCCATGTTGGACGACCCTACACGCGAGCGGATGTGTGAGCATTTTCTCATGAGGATCCCAATCTGAACCAGCGGTGTGGATGCAGTCGTGATTGTAGCCGCGGTTGTAATCGCGATTGCAATCCGGATTGTAGTCGCGAGTGTTGTCGTAATCGTGGTCGTGGTTGTAGTCGCAACCGTCGTCGTAATCGTAGTCGTCGTCGTCGTCGTCGTCGTCGTCGTCGTCGTCGTCGTCGTCGTCGTCGTCGTCGCGGCGGAGATTGTGCTCCCTTGTATTGTTTGGCGGGCTGGATAATGTTCTGTGGTTCTCTCTCCCCTGGCAGAATCTAGTGCGGGCTACTTTACACGCGAAAGGATGTGTGGCCATCTTTTCACGATGTCTACAGTAGGAATCAGTGATTGTGGTTGTAGGCGTGATTGTAGTTGTTGTAATCGCGATTATAATCATGACATTGGTCGTGATTGTAGTCGTTATCGCAGTCTTGCTTGTAGTCAGAATTGCTCCCCACCCCCTGGGGGGGTGCTCTGTGGTCGCTTGAGATTGTCAGTGCAGCCTTGCCGTGCCCTCTCCCTCATTCATTCTAAACGCTCCCTCACCACTTCGCCGAGACAGGACATTATTATCCATAATCACCGCCTGGGGGGTCGACCTTCGGGGACGTCGGGGATCGGTGGATATGTATATATTCGGGCCCTGGGGAGGCCAAACATGTCCATGTCTACAGCCCTCTGGGGTCCCAGGACGTCTGTTCCACGGGCGGTGGACATTGATAAATCGCCGCCTCGCACCTTCACACCAGTATTCCGTCGTCTCTGCTTCCGCATTCCTCTCGTCTCCTGCTATCCTCCTTCATCCTCCTGACTCTGCCCATCGTCTTTCTCCGTCCTCTCCCGATCGATCCTGCTGCTCCCCCCTGCATCCTGCTCGTTCTGCATGTGCTGCTGCTGCTCGCTCTCCCTCTCGATACGGATCCTCCCAATCTGCGGCGCTGGGACCTCCGACGACGTCCCTCCTGTCCTTCCTGCCCGCCTTTCCTTGCCTCGGCATCGCTCGGACGTGAGTATTCTTACTCGGCGAGGACCATCGAGAAGCATTCTGTGATGGGCCTGTTTTCCACCACCACCACCACCAGCATGAATAAGAGGGGGGAAGGAGGTGGAGGATGAGGAGGAGGAAGAGGATGATGATGAGGAGGAGGATGAGGAGAGGGAGGAACCGCTCCCCCTCCTACGTATGGTGGTGGCGGTGGAAAATAAGCCCACCAATCTGGATAATCTTGGGAATCATGGCGCATCTAGCAGAGTAGATTGGGGATGGACGTCCGAGTGATAGTAAGTACTGATCTTCCCCGTTGGCGGGGCTGAGGCCTCCGACGACGTCCCTCCTGCCCTCCCGTCCTCCTTCCCTCCATTCCTGGCCACTGAGCGGGCTCGATCTGGAGACCGTTCGGCGGCCGAACGGGCCCTGGACGCCGAACGGGCTCAGAAGGGTCCCCCTGGGGGAGCACACGCATTCAAGCAGTGACGAAGCATCGAGACTTGCCCATGAGCCCAGCAAATAATGTTATGATATCCTTCCGCGGTTCGCACGAGCTGTTCTTAGAACATCTTTGGTTGAGACAGCCTTCGTTTACAACATAGATCTACCCATGTGATACGAACACTGCTCGAGTTCTCAGGACACTCTTATGGGTTCTAAGAACATCGGACGGGGCTAGCACGAGGACAAATCCGTTCCAGAGCGTTCTGGAACGCTCTCAGGCGTCCCGGAACGCTCTGGGAAGGCCGCGGCGCCTGTGACATCCTCCAGATCCGCCGCATCTCAGAGATTCTCGATTTGTGTTCACCCGAGTTGATCCTCGTCCTGGCTTCGTCTTAGAACACGGTGGTAGTCCGATAGGACTGCCAGGGCGGTCGCCCCCTGCTCACTGCACGCCTTCACGCGTGTGGCGTCCTCGACACGTGCTCTGCAGCGGCTGCGGCACCTGCAGCGGCCTCGGCAGCGGCCACCCTCCCGCCTCTCGTCCTCGGCCGCTCCGCCGCTCGGCTGCTCGGCCGCACGGCCGTGTGCGCGGCCTGCTGCTCCCATCCCTGGGCACCGCTGTCGGTCCCGTCTCTGGCGGCCCCCGGAGACGACAGGGCAGTTTTTGTGACCGCTTCCGCTCCGCAGCGTGTCGCTGCCATCTCCGGCGCCGTTGTTGCCCGGTTCCGTCTCGGTCGTTTTCCGGTTTCGGCTCCAATCCCGCAGCTGCTTCTCGACCGTTCCTCGGTGCGTGTTTCGTCTTGCCATGTTAATGTTCCAGAGGCAGGCTCTCGAAAGCGTCGGGGAGCCCGCTCTGCGTCTGAGCCCGTGCGGCTGCCGAGCGGGCTCAAGCTCGCGCCCATTCCTCGCACGAGCGGGCTCAGTTCCCACGACCTTGTCGGCACCGGGCCCGTTCGGCTGCTCATTCTCCGTGGACGAGTTGTGTGCACCGTACTCTCGCTGGCGTCTCCCGAGGCGGCGCCCTTCCTCGACCCGGCCGCCGGGACGGCGCATCGTACCTCGGCGCTGGGAGCCGAAAGCCATGCACTGCACCGCGCTGGGGCGGGGCCTGAAGGGAGTGCAAACACGGTGCGGTGCATGGGCGCCTCTGCATCTCGCACGCTCGGCGGCCGAGCGGGCTCGGACGCCGAAGGCTCCAGAGAGGCAGGCCTCGGAAGGAGCTCACGGGGGCCTGCAGCAGGACCCCTGGAAAGACATCCAAAGACTTCAGGTCCTCGATCGATCCTCCGCCTCCTCCTCCTCCTCCGCCTCCTCTTAACATCCTTCTCCGACTCCTTCTCCTCCTCCTCCCCCTCCTCCGCCTCGCCTTCCTCCTGCTCCTCCTCCTCCTCCTCGTTTTCTTGTCCTTCAAGGTCCCTGCATGGATCCTTACAGAAGAGCCCCGAGGAAACGTCAAAACGCCTCCGTCCTCGAATCTCCTCCTCCTCTTCCGCCTCCTCCTCCTCTTTTTCCGCCTCCTCCTCCTCCTCCTCCTCGCTCCTCCTCCTCCTCCTCCTCCTCCTCCCACTCCTCCTCCTCCCTCCTCCTCCCTCTCTTCCTCCTCCTCCTCCTCTCCTCCTCCTCCTCCTCCTCCTCCTCCTCCTCCCTCCTCCTCCTCCTCCCTCTCCTCCCCTCCTCCTCCTCCTCCTCCTCCTCTCCTCCCTCCTCCTCCTCCTCCTCCTCCTCCTCCTCGTCGCTCCTCCCTCCTCCTCCTCCTCCTCCTCCTCCTCCTCCTTCTCCTCCCCTTCCTCCTCCTCTTCCCCCTCCTCTTCCTAGTTATCCTCCTCCGCCACGGTCCCTGCATGGAGCAGAAAACGGCCAAACACCTCCGTCCTCGAACTTTCTTTTCCTCCTCCTCCTCCTCATCCTAGTCCTCCTCTTACTCCTTCTTCTCCTTGTCCTCCTCCTCCTCCTCCTCCTCCTCCTCCTCCACGGCCCCTGCTTCCAACGCCCTCGTGGCATCTGACCCCTCGCCCTTGGCCTCTCCCTCCGCGCCCCGATGCTGGATCCCCCATCCTCCTCGTCGTCGCCTTCCTCCTCCAATCCCTTCCCTGGCCCTCTTTGGGTCCAGGAGGAGGGGTGCGGGGCTCGATTCGATTCCTTCGATTCGATTCGATTCGACTTCGAGGGCTTCTGATTCTATTCGATTCGATTCCGATCTGGATTCTGATTTTTGAATGGAGGCCTACTAGCCTGCCGATTTCCGCCAATTCGACTTTTCCCGAATTGGGTGCCGATTTCCGCAGATCCGATTCGTTCCGATCGTCGATCCGACTTATATATTCGATTTTGGGCTCGCCTGGGGGTGGGAGGGGTGGGCCGTGTCCCGTGGCGCGCTTCCGTGCTGGCTCGTGCTGTCTCGTCCTCCTGAAGCGTCCAGTCCAGCTCCTTCTCCTCGTCCAGTGGTGTCCGCGGTTCGGTTGGGTTCAGCTGCATCGCAGTCGGTTGCGTCCGGTGGGTTCGGCTCGGGCGGTTGTTGTGTCGTTGCCGCGTCGCCGCCCCTGATGATGTAGGCTGCTCGGAGCCCGTCGGTGCCAGTTTCGCTGTCGGTGCGGTCGGTTTTCGGCCGTGCTTGCGCCGTGGACGGCTTTGCCCCCACCCCCCCGTCTTCAGCGCCCGCGTGGCATCGACGCCCCCGAGATCCCCGACGGTACGACCCCGTCACGCCCGCCGTCTCTCCCAGCTCGCGGGCTCCGGGGGCCGGCATCGGGCCCCCGGCACCACCGAACGCGGATCCGGGTTGGAAAAGCAAGCCCAGGGCTCGGGAGTTGTGGTTCTTCTCCCTCCCTGCTCCTCGCTCCTCGCTCCTCCTCGCTCCTCCTCGCTCCTCCTCCGCCCTCCCTCCTCCTCGTTTCTCGCTCCTCCTCGCTCCTCCTCGCTCCTCCTCCTCCTCCTCCTCCTCCTCCTCCTCCTCCTCCTCCTCCGCGCTCCGCGCTCCGCGCTCCTCGCTCCTCCTCCGCCCTCCCTCCTCCTCGTTTCTCGCTCCTCCTCGCTCCTCCTCGCTCCTCGCTCCTCCTCGCTCCTCCTCATCGCTCCTCGCTCCTCCTCGCTCCTCCTCGTCGCTCCTCCCTCCTCCTCCTCCTTCTCGCTCCTCCTCCTCCTCCTCCTCCTCCTCCTCCTCCCTGTCGGGGCCTCCCTCGCGGCCTCTCTCTCTCTCTCTCTCTCTCTCTCTCTCTGCGCGCCCCGCCGCTGCCCCGCCGCCCTCGCGGCCGAGGCAAGCGGAATGACAAGAAGGCGCCAGCGCGCGCGCGCGGCGGCGCGTCGCCGTGTGACGGCGGGTCGGGGTTCGGTCAGGCAGCAGATCGCGGAGGGTCAGAGCCCCGAATCATCAGGGGTAACTCGGGTTAGGGATAACTCGGGTTCCTTTTTCGGGAATCCAAACCCGAGTTACCCCGGACCCGAGTTACCCCAGATAACTCGGGCGTCCAGAGCCCCGAATCATCAGGGGTAACTCGGGTTAGGGATAACTCGGGTTCCTTTTTCGGGAATCCAAACCCGAGTTACCCCGGACCCGAGTTACCCCAGATAACTCGGGCGTCCAGAGCCCCGAATCATCAGGGGTAACTCGGGCGCCCAAGAGGGTGCCGCTCGTCATGGGCAGAACATGTTTTTGCGGCGGATGGCGCCCAACAGTGTTCCATGTGCAAGGCGCCATCCAGTGCCCGACAGCGCCCAGCTGAGGCAAACGGCGCCCGAGCAGCTCCCGGCAGCGACCAATAGCGCCCCATGGCGCCACGTGAGGGAGACGCCTCATGTCCCGCTCTGCGCGGGATTGGGCGTGCTATTGGGCGCCTTGGGCTGACCACAAGCTTCTGTTATTTGCTCGCTCAGGTTCAGGGCGAGCTGGGATCTCTGGGGAGTACGTGAGTGTTCGAACTTTGATATCGGAGGATCGAAATGGGTACGTCTGGGCCTCCAAGATGGGATCGGGTGATCGAGGCGCATCGCCGCTGCATACGCGATGCGGCTCGATGTGGAACCCGACCTCCACGCGGACGTCGCCGTTGCATCGGCGATGCGTCGACGATGCATCGATGATCTGGCGAGATCCTCCGACCCCATCTGCTCCTACCCCAAGGGATGCACAGACACGAACATCCAAAACTCCTTCCTTCGGGCATACATATAGATATACGTGTATATGTATATATGTGTATCATTCGTGCGTTTATTAGGCTTCTTCTGTCTTCCTACAAGCCCCTTCCCTCTCCTCCCCGTCGCTGTCAGGGGCGCAGCGTACGCGTACATCATGTCATACGAGCTTCGAGAACACGCATGACGAGAGTGTTCGTAATGTGTGGGCGACTTCTGGAGCTGGGGTCATATTCACTAGGGAGCGTTTCTCGAAGCATAGGGTCTCACCTTTCTGCGCTCCTTCCTCTCAGTATTGACCAGATTGACCTTCTCGCGCAAAGTGACCGTGTACAATACAAGCCATCGCTCGTAGGACAGTCGCTCTACGTGGCTCGACGCCCTGCTTCCGCTCGTGGGCCCAGGCGGCTCGGTGGCCTCACGATGGCGTCGCCGGACTTCTCGTCGTGCTGCTGTGCCCGCCCCTCCCCCTCCCCCACCCCAAAACGCGCTGGGCCGAACCGTGCACGCTCGTGGCCGGGCGTGCACGTCTGCTTCGGGGGCCGCCACCCGGACCCTCCGCCTGCCCCCCCCCCCCCCGTGCCCCGCCCCCGCCCTGCCCCATGCCGGAGCGCTTCCCGCTCTCGCTCTCTGGCTCTCCTCGTTGCGCATGCTCAGAGCCCTGGATCATCAGGGGTAATTCGGGTCAGGGTTAACTCGGGTTCGTTTTTCGGGAATCCGAACCCGAGTTATCCCGGACCCGAGTTACCCCGGATTTTTCGGGCGTCCAGAGCCCCGAATCATCAGGGGTAACTCGGGTCAGGGCTAACTCGGGTTCGTTTTTCGGGAACCCAAACCCGAGTTACCCCGGACCCGAGTTACCCCGGATAACTCGGGCGTCCAACATGCCAGTGCCGGAGAAGCTGGCCGGGGAACGCACACGCCCAGAGAGGCGCGGCGTTCGTCGTGCTTTGGCTTCCGTGGGCGAGCGCTCCGTACTGCAGCACCTCTGCCTCTGCGAGCGCGGCAGCATGGTGTCCTGCCCTGCGCGGTCCTTGCCAGTCAGGACTTCCCTGTTCATCGTTCACACCACGGCGGCGGCGGCAGTCTTCCCCCCTCCGCCCCCTCCTATCCTGTGTCCTCCTCTCCTGCCGCGGAGGAGGACGCGGCGGCCGAGAAGGAGAAGGAGAAGGAAAAGGATAGGGAGAAAGACAAGGACCCGCGGGATCGAATAAGCACAAGGGGCCCACACATCGAGCGGTCCGCGTTGCTGGAAAGCCGCGGTATCGTTACAGTTTGGACGAATCACGCGGCTTCAGGACCAGCGCCGACGTCAACGAACCAGCCGTGCACCCCACTTGCCCCGAAGCAAGCGGGTCCTGACGGAAACGGTTTTTCCGCTGCTTTCGGGCTCGTTAGGCCCTCCACGGGCCCCACGACTGCCCAACAGAGCGACTCGGGACGAGGAGCGGGGTTCTCCGGTGAACAGCCCCGGGGTCCAAGACCTGGTTCCGTCAGGAGCTGCTTGATTTATTCGGGGGCGGCCAAGAGAGGGGCGTGGTGATTAGTCAGGAGCGAAAGAACGTAACGTGCACGTACATGGATCCACGCCGGTTTCGAAACTGCGCGGTGCGCGAACGTTCGTGTCACGAGGCTGGTCTTCAGACTGGAGGGCCGTATTCATGCACGTGGCTGGGCGCGCTTTTTCTAATGTGGGCTCCCTGGGGGTTTGGATACTCATGGCCGGGGCCGTGATGGCTTTACAGCTTTTGCGGCCCCCTCTTCTTCTTTCACTGCGCCTCGTCGCCCCCCGCGTCCGCGCACGGTGCCTCCCGCCATGATGTGCTAACCCCCTCGTGGACGCCCCCCTCTTGTTCGGTGGCAAAGCATGGGCGCCTTGTGTACCCTCGTAACTGCGTCTTTCGATCCGGCTCGCGTCGAGCAGCGTCTGGTAATCGATGATATCGCGTCGATTGGTGTCAATTCGTGTCGATTAGAGCGTGGGTCAGCGCCGATGTGTACCGTCGACTAGCGTCGATTAGCGTCGGTCAGCGTGGATCCGCGAGAGCCCACAATATGGGATGGGAGGCCCCCGTAAGTTGCCACAGAACTCTCCGGCGGCGAGCGAGGGGGGGACGCGGGAAGGAAGAGGCCTTCTCAGAAGGCGGCAGGACTTCTCAGGAGCCCTCCCTCGTGCCTTCTGAGAAGGTTCCCTTGGTCTTCAGGGGAAGGCCCAGGGAACCTCTCAGAAGGCACGACAAGGGGACTTCCGAGCCTTCGGCGAGGGCCCGCCCCCTCTTGCACGTCCCCCCCCGGCGGGCCGCCCAGCTCTTGGATGCTTCCTACGCCGGGGGAGGTGCCTGCAGCAGCCTGCGCGACTCCCGAGCACCGCCGGGCCCCACGGGGAGCGTCAGACTCGGCAGGCACGTCCCCGAGGGCATCGGCGCTGGCCCGAGCAGCCTCGGGGTCCTCGTGGAGAAAAGGGCAGGCGTCGGAGTCGGGACGAGATGGCGGCACGAGGAGGGTGCCTGCGCCGGTGCATCTCGGGGGCGACGATAGGGGGGGGATCGGCATAGGGGGGGATGCATCGATCCCCGACGGCCCACTGATCGCCGATAGGGGCCCGACAGCCCCAGCCTGCCCAGGAAGGTGTGGATTCACTATCAGGGGCCCATCGCCGATCTGTCGGCGATGCATCGCCGATTCCAGGTAGATGCATGCCCCCCCCTATGCCGGTCCCCCCCACCGTTGCCCCTCATGCATCGGCTCGGGGGCGGTGTCTCGGGTCATTGAGAACACAAGGGCCCCTAACCCCAGTAACACTATGAGGACGTGGCCTCACGGGGGTCCCCGTCTTCGACTTGGGGATCGTAAGCCTGGGCGGTCTGGCTGGGTACATCTGCACAGACGACCCCTCTATCCTTGCTGTGTTTGGCCCTCCTAATTGTGGCCCCCTCCCAAAGGGTTAGGGGCCCTTGTTTGGTTAAGCATCGGGGGCGGATCGTCGCCTGCTCGCTCGCTCGTGCCGTGGGCTGTGGCAGCGGTGCGTCCGCCGAGCTGGAGCACCTAGGAAGGAAGGGGTCCGAAGTGTGTTGCCCGACGCGATCCGTCTGGCTGGGGACAGCATCCAGCTTCAAGACGCAGCGAGTGACGCCTCCACATGGCGACACGAAGTGCGCCATGTTTGTTTTCATAGTTGATGTGCCAGTCTGCACGCCTGTGGATCGTCGCCCAGCAGGATTCATTCCGATCCGGTCCTTCCGATTTCAAGCAGTGGCGAAGCGTCCTGGCTTGCCTGTAGGCCCACCGAGACATGTCATGTGAACCCCTTGTGTGGTTTGCGCGAGATGTTATGATCATTTTCTGGCTGAGGCTGGCTTGTTTGTATATATATATATAGGCTTTATGTGCTAAGAACGCTGCTTTTGTTGTTCGAACATGCTATTGTTCTTAGAACGTGTCCTGGTAGGCCCATAAGAATGCCAGGACGGTCGGTCTCTGCTCAACGTATCGATATCTCGGAGGAGGAGAAAGAGTCCCAATACCGCTACACTTCCCTCGTGTTCGTCTGTGTCGGCCTCTCTCGTCGCCACCGCTGGATTTGCCTCGAAATTCTAGTCAGAACGCACCCCGGGAGAGATCTGGGGAGCACCGGCAGAGGAGCCCTTTGGTTTTCCCCAAACCGGTTCCGATCTGGCACGATCTGGCGATCCGATGCGGCACGATTCCTGCGCGGCGCCGTTGTGCGAGCGTCCTGGCGCGGCCGATCCGATTCGATTCCAGCTCCTTGCCGGCGAGACATTACAGTATTCGCCTCGGAGCCTCGCCGAATACGTAGATCCAAGACGCTGAAATAAGGATTGCTTTGGGTTCGGAAAAGGGCTCGTTGCTCCTCAAGTCATTTCGTGGTGTCCGCCCCTGCTGCTGCTGCTGCTGCACTCCCAGCGCCTTGTGTATGTTTGTTTTTTGCCCCAGCCGAGAAAGAAACAACCAGTACAGTGTACATCTTCGGAGATTCTCGCGGATTTCTCGGATCGGCGCTGGCCCCCCTGGCGACGCCTCCGGCGCCGCCCCTGACGCGCTGCGCGCGCCAGGAAGGGGGGCCCATCGCCGATCTAAGAAATCCGCGCGGACCTCCGAAGTTTTAGGTTTTTAG